ATATAATATTATATAGTATTATTCAGTTATTTAATCATAATTAATGAGATTTATTATCAAAATGAAAATGTGATGAAAGAAAAATAATAAAATATATAAATTAAAATCTGTCTGCTGCAGGTAGGACACTGACTGCTCAGAACCACCCCACACACACCTCCACTCAGTTCTTATTTTATGTCTTAAATGGCGACAGAAACCAGACCCKGGTCTTAGAACGGCTCGGCTCGGCTCCAGTTTTCAGCTCCACTGAAACGTTTCTGTTTCTGTGGGAAACAGCTGCACTTGAACCTGAACGACTCGTGGCCTTAAAGCAGGAACCAGTCCGTCAGGCCCACATAATGAGCACTTTACCCGTCTGGACCTGAGAACAGAACTCTTCTGTAGAGATCTGTGGGCTCCAAGGCTCCGCCGGTGCAGCTTTTTATCTTCGCCTGAATCACAAACATGAAAACAAAACAAAAACATTTTGTTAGAATCTGGTGGTTCTGTTCTGTACAGAACTTGTTTGGACAAGTTGTTCGTTCTTTTTCTGTTTTTAACGTGAGCGCACTGAAAGTTAGCATCATTACTGCAGAGGTCAGGAGAATAAATGAAGAGCAGGAAATATTTCAGCTGCTAGTTTTCACAGAATCAGGCTCCTGCTCTGTAATAAATGACCGAGTGTTTCAGGTTGACTTGTCCTTCAGTCTCTGAGCTTCAGGTCCTTCAGGTCCTTCAGTCTGTGTTGAACCTGGACCCTGAGTCCTGATGCTTGTCTTATCAGCAGTTTGCCTTCAGCTGCAGCAGAGTCTCAGTTCTGTGGGTTTGATGCTGAAGTGAGACGATTGTTTCAGTGATAAAAGCTGCACAGAGTGGGACCAGTGAATCCTGGACTCAGATGATCAGTTTCTGACACAAAGATCAAAGTTTCTGTCGGGGTCTTGGGTTCCTGCTGCCCTCTGGATCCTCTGTCCCAGGTGTGGGACCTGGAGTCCTCTCTGTTCCAGGTGTGGGACCTGGAGTCCCCTCTGTCCCAGATGTGGGACCTGGAGTCCCCTCTGTCCCAGGTGTGGGACCTGGAGTCCCCTCTGTTCCAGGTGTGGGACCTGGAGTCCCCTCTGTCCCAGGTGTGGGATCTGTAGTTCCCCTCTGTCCCAGGTGTGGGACCTGTAGTTCCCCTCTGTCCCAAGTGTGGGACCTGGAGTCCCCTCTGTTCCAGGTGTGGGACCTGGAGTCCCCTCTGTCCCAGGTGTGGGACCTGGAGTCCCCTCTGTCCCAGGTGTGGGACCTGGAGTCCCCTCTGTTCCAGGTGTGGGACCTGTAGTTCCCCTCTGTCCCAGGTGTGGGACCTGGAGTCCCCTCTGTTCCAGGTGTGGGACCTGTAGTTCCCCTCTGTCCCAGGTGTGGGATCTGTAGTTCCCCTCTGTCCCAGGT